GAATGTTCTTTTTTTTCTAGTTGTCCGATACCTTTATCAATGCAGATTCCCCTCAGCATGAAGAGAAAGTCTCCGGTTCTTTGTTGGCAAATCACGACTCTCGCGACCAATTTGACCAGCTCAATAACTCTGAAGACAAAGCACAATCTTTAAGGTATATTTGATACACAATATTTGATGGGACAAAACTTTACAAAAATCAAGATTTTAACCTCATTTTCTTTCTTAATATTGTCCAGTACCTTACTGCCCACCTTACCAAACAAGCTATTAATGCGCGAAAGTGGCAATGACGGAAACATTGAAAGCTCCAGAGCAGATGTTTTGCTTGGTGACGAGGAAGCATCATCTCCAGCTTCGTTATCGATTCAAACTCCTTCCACAGACAGGGGACTCCAACGACCTAACCATCAGAACTTATGCACAGCAAATCAAATATGTATTGCCATTGCAGCTTCAGAGAACGCTCGAATTTATTGTTCTATAGCAGCTGCCGTTTTAGTGCTCTTGTCATACACAGGATTCCCATTTCTGGGCTGGGGCATTTTTAGGAGCATCACATGTTTCAGACCACTCTATCTGCTTCTGATAACCAATGTATCAATTGTGGTTGCGCGGCTTCTTCTAGCAAAACGAGGGAGAGAGGAGAGACAGACGAGTAGCAGTCCTCCTATTGGTGGAGATGGTACGATTGATCTAGTGACGAAAGCTCTTGAGTTAGGGTTGTTGATGAAGAAGATTGTTGGTGCATTGTTCATTGATTCCAGCATTTACGTGGTGGTGCTCGTATGTGGTCTTTCCGTGGCACAAAGACTTGGCTGGTAAAACTTCCTTTTGAAGTGAACCAAATGCATGTAAGATTACTGTCTGGTTTGACCCTATTTTCATGTTTGGCATCGAAAGTATTAAAGAAGAAAAATAAGTAAAGCACGTCATTAAATTGTCTAGGGCTAGTCTGCGTACCAAACAAACATGCACTGTAGTTCCTCAATTTTGCTGTGAGCAAAGTTTTGCTTAAGTAGACGCTAGTATTATGCACGTGAGTTGTACGTCTTATATATATTGAATGAATGATATGCGTAATATTTTTGAAGTGCTAAAACTATTTTTTTTAAGTAATTGGTGTAATTGATATTGTTAAATGAATAATTAAAGTTGTATATATATATATATATGAATAAAAGTTTTTATGAAATTATGTATATAATGTGAAAATGTTGAATAAGGGTTGATTACTTTTATTTTTCCATTTTGAAGTCGGTATGTTTTTCCTTTCTCAACCATGGGAAAAAAAATTTCGATTGTATCCTTAAACAACATAGCTTAGACGTTTCTCATCTGGAAACATTATTAAAAAAAACATATTAGTCTAATAGTAAAACTTCTTTAAGAAAAGTATTGGCTAGTTCTAACATTATTTAATAATCACCATCACACAAAATTAGTTTTGAAACTTCAACGGGGTCATTCTTATTGCTGTAGATCTTAATGGAACATTTTCGAAGTATGGATACTTTTATAATTCCCTTCTTCAAATACATTCAATTGTCTTATAAATATATAATTGCAATCTTTGTTTGGTGACATCAATTCTATAAACATGAAAACAAATTTAAGATATAACAACAAAAATATATATTAACAATTCACAAAACGGAAAAAGTTCATATTTTTTAAATTAAACTAACAACCTGATTCATTTTGTTGATCTATTGATGAATCATGTTAGTTTAGTAATTTGTTTATTAATTTTGGAAAAAACCATTTAGCAAGTATATGAAATATCATGCAAATATAATATCATCCAACACATCTTTATCAAGAATGTGATTTGTCTTCAAATATCAATATAATGCAGGGACATATACCAATTATAATTACACTTCAAAATTGGTTTAATACCGAAAATTGGGTAAATATGGAAAAAAAAAAAATCAATTAATTTTATTTAATATAAAAATCAGTCAAAGACCAATACAAAGTGGTGGTTGTTCACGTTTCAACGAAATACTAATTGTCAAAGTTCAATATCCCATCATCTCTCCTAAAAGTAATTATTAAGTTATAGTTTAGTAAATAATAAAATAACTAAATAAAAACCATAAAATTAGAAATATTAAAAATATAAATCGTCAAGACAAAGATGAATCATAGTGCTTGAAAGAGATTTGGTATAATATAGATGTCCACCCAGACAGATCCACAAATTCATAAACATAAATAAAAAATAATGCATCTTGCAAGAAAACGATGAGATAATAATATTGTCGGGCTACCGCATGCTTAGGACTCCTCAAATGGATGTATATATACAATTAAAATGATTCGTAGTAATAGATAAATCTAAATAGAAATTTCATACACTTAAATTGATATTAGAAATTAAGTCCTTGTTTGTTTCAAATTATTTAAAAATAAAAATCAATTTTTTAACCCTTTTTTTCAAAACATTGGGGCCCACTATGAGAGAGAGGTCAACGATTGCGGCTACATTACTGTAGCAACGGTAGGAATTCTACTTAAAAATGAAAACAAACAGGTGCTAATAAAAAATATCATCAAAGACCAAAACAATCATTTTTTTAAGAACTTGTCTCATCCAAATCGACTTCTCCAAAATTCCAATGCCCAACATGAATACATTCATATGCATAATCATCATCTAGACTATTTTTGAATTTTGAGACGCTCTAACTTACAACAAATTGCATTAATTGAAAACAATTCTTACCTTTAATCCATTTCACGTGCTTCCCCTTAGCAGAAAATTAAAAAAATGTAGCCTTGATAGACTCTCCACATGTTCGTTCATCGTACGTTCTCTCTGTATATTGAAATTTTTAACTTGTTAACGTTGTGTGTGGATGGTTTAGAATTCCAACACATATTATAATGTTATAATAATTTATTTAGTTTCACATAATCATAAGAATATATCGGAAAATAATTGAGGATTTAAATGTGAAAATGAGCTAAGATTATAAATGTTTATTGCACTTATAATGTCGTGTAGTTCATAAAAATTTTAGTGGGAATATAATTTACCCATCATTTGAGATCTAGTTTTATCTAAACTTAGGTATCATTGGGAGTCTTATGTAACTATCAATTAAAACAACTTTTAGATAAGGGTAAATATAACATAAAATAAAATTTTATCAAATTATATAGTAACATTCTGTATGCATTAATTTTATTACATTAAATATGTGTGAAACAACAAAATGAGACAACCATTTAAATAAGGGAATATTGAGGTTTTTTTTTTTTTTTTTTNACGTAGATGGTGAAAAATAAACGTAATGCCAAACCACACAATACTGTGGAAGAGTATGCAAGTAGGACTAAAATTGTTAACAACACCTAAAAGTTGTTAATAAAATTGTTATAATATTAAAAAGATTAATTTAAGATATTATTGACAAATGGAAAAGAAAATGATTTTTTTTTTTTAATTTCATGTTGAATAAATTGAATTAATTATTAGCAAAACTACAATTAAATAAATGTATATTGAGCGTATAACTATGTAAGGAATTACTATTATTAATTAATTATTAACAAAACTAAAATTAAATAAGGGTATATTGGGTACATAACTAAATATGTAAAGGTAAATGGGGTATTCAAAAGTTTCCGTCACAAGATTTCTTTCAAGTAATTTCGTACTTCCAATATTTTTTGTTGATAGAAACTGTGTTGGATATTTCCATCGTTGATTGAGTCTATGATCGTTCAATAAAAAGGTTTAACTTTGTTGCTTGAACGGTGCAAGTTTTGTTACCATGAGAATGTGTTATTGAAAACGCATTGTAGAGAAATGGAGCCAAACAAGGGCTTAACATCAAATAAAGCCCATATAGGCTAGGGAATTTAGGGTCCTTTTGATTGTAAAAGTGAAATTTAAATGGAAAAAAATGAATTTCAAGGAATTGAATTATCTAGAATTGTTTTCCTGAAAATTGTTCATTAATTGTGTTTGATTAGTATAATTTTCCATGTGAAAAATATTGAAACTTTGAATATTTTACTTTGTTTTATATAAAAATTGTCCATTAAATGGATATAATTTGTTACAATTGAGAATAAATTTTGTTTCCATTGCAAAAATTCCACAAAATCATTGAATTGACGTGCGTGTGAGACAAAAGCAAGAAAATGAATTGCCAAAAAAATGATGCCAATTAAACACTCATTTTGGAAAAAGATGGATCCACAAAATCTTTGAATTGGCGTGTGTGTGAGACAAAAGCAAGAAATTGAATTGCCAAGAAAATGATGCCAATCTAACACTCATTTTGGAAAAAGATGGAATTCCATGAAAAAAATAGCCTATCAAACAGGCCCTTAGGGATTTCATCATAGAAAATGGATCAAATGCATTAAAATGGGAAGCAATAGCCCAACAATCCAGTGCTGAGCTCCAATGACAATTGCAAAAGAGACATTTGATACACTGAATCGGATGAACTAGAGAACAAACATATATTGACTCCTTGCTTATTAATCACATCCAAATCATTGTATCAAATATGCTCAAAAGTAATCAAGCTAAGCAACCCAGAAGATTTAGGAATGGAATAGCAATTGTACATATATTATTGTTAACACACTGCGAACTGAATATTTTTAAGTGTATAATTATTGATTAACCAATTTCAAGAAAAATATATTATTTCCCTCTTAAACTGCAAATATGATTTTCCAGAGATTTTACCAACACAATTCAAGAGTTCAATACCGACAATCTCATTTAATCGAGGTCCGTATTTATGTCCAATAGTACACAATAACTGAAAAATTACCCTTCACTTCTCTTCCTTGATCTTCAGTCCTTTCCCAGTGATTATGATTCTCATATTAGGTAAAAAGGTGCAACTCCGTCCAAATGTCTAGCAATCACATGAAGTCTTCTTCAAGTTCTTGCAGGGACTTTTTAGTTGATGCTATATCCTTGTTTGACGTCATCTTTTCAGCTACCATCAAATTTTTGTAGCTTCTTAATTCAGCTTGTTTCTCCTTTTCGAGCCTCTCCAACTCTTCTTTTCGTTTCTGTTTAAAGAAAAAAATCATGTGAAGTAAAAATGGATAGCAAGAGTGATATAGAGTAAGCCAAATAAACTAAAATATTTTGTTGAAGTTCTCGCATAGTAAGATATGCAGGATAAAGTATATGGTTGCTCTGGTCATGTGCTCTTCATGTTCCATGGAACCTGCCCCTTAAAGTTCTGATATGTTTGGTTGTATAGATACACCGACATTTTCTTTATTCTATCCCATAAATATGCAAATATACTCATTTTCCAACAAGTTCTCGAAATTCTAACTTTCATTACCAAGCCTCCGTTTGTTTCTCATTTTTCATCTATAAAAATGAAAAATATGATCGATATCCATTACATCAAACCATCAATTTTGAATTTCTATTTCTTGTGTGGGGCCCAATAACGGCTATATTTTTCATTCTCAGGCCCTAAGATCAGGATACCTCAAACAATTTAACTAAGAGGACATGGACACCCCATCATATTATGCTACTTTCAGAATCTTCTACTCATTTTTTTTTTCTCTTGAGATTACTAAACTTCAAAATTCAGTTATCTACCTTGCATTATATCTTTTTTCACTAGGCCTCTTCAACAGAATAAAAACCTAACCCCCACGGCCCCACCACAACCCCCCTGCTTTAACCCTTATATGCTTGATAATTGCGTTTAAGAATGTGCAGCTGTAAAAGTCGAATGGCAGAGAGATAAATATAAAAACAATGACCGCAATGGTCCAACAAAGTAAGGTAGGATTGGCTGCTATAATTAGATAAACAATTAGAGTTTGAGATAACTTTCAAAAACTCGAAATTCAGCTGATCTTGATGTCTCCCACTGTTGAGTGTACTAAAAAACTCAGCTAGCCAAGATATTGATGCTTGGTAAGAAATAAATATGCACACTGCATTTAATTGGTAAATCAAGTAGGGAAAACATTGAAATGAACAAAAGCTTTTATTTAACTTCAATATAGATCAGGTTGACGATAACTGCAAATTGACCTTAATAATCAAAGCATGCTGCTAAAATTAATAAACGTGCATTTATCATTCAACACTGGGGTTAAATGCTAAAATAGCCCAATGGGCTCATCTTCAGATTCCAGGATGGTTTCTGATAAATAGAAGTGTTGTTTTATTGTGATTTCTAGTGCTAAAATGCTCCAAGTCTCTTTCCTCAATTTAAACTTCCATTTTCATTAGTTTGCTTACACTAACATTTCACAACCAAGATACTTCTATCTTTTCTCCATGATCTGTGTTACCCTCATTAGTTTGCTTACACTGACATTTCACAACCAAGATAATTCTATCTTTTCTCCATGATCTGTGTTACACTCGGGCCAAGAGAAATTTCTATAGCATTTTTTACCAGACATCAAATTGACGAACTCAAAGTCACATACCTAGCGAATTTTGGCTGCCCAATATATTTTAAAGAAGTAATTAGTTGAGGATCACTTGGGCTATGAAAATCAAATGAGTATGTACCTTACACAGCTAAAGTTGAATGAGAATTAATGTTACTCACCTTCTCCCTGAGATGCTGTTTCTTCTCTGCTCTTTCAGCTGCATTGACTGCCTCTCGTTCAGCTGAACACATAAATCATATGAATCAAGTGTACAATGCTAAAAATAAACAGGATAAGCCCGCCACTTAAATGATGCCTTGAACTAAAAGTGGAATGGGATAAAGGAAAGAAAATTTGGGGGGGGGGGGGGGGATCCTTTCCACCTTTGTCCTGTTTAACCGGTTAACTATCTCATTTATTCGCTTTTCCACTCTCACCGTACGAACCTAAACAAACGAACACATAAATTAACTGTGACAAAGTGTCCTGCAAAGCACATAAGACACTGCTTATACAGCCACAAGAAATGCATAACGAGCTGACCATTTTTGAGTTGTAGAAACCAACTTGCCCAACATCCATCGAAGCAGTTTTCTTAAGATTTTGCCAGGGGGTATAAACAATGTCAACATTGTTTACTTTGTTTCCTGAGAAGTAACAAAATCAGACTTTTAACTGTTGTGTGAGTATCATAAACAAAATAGATACATGTTATCAAAGGAGCAATCGGTCAATTGTTTCAGTACGGGCAGCCTAAAAATACTGAAATCAAATACAATTTTTTTTTGTTTTTGTTTAAGATAAATCAAATAAAATCTTAAACATGTGATTCAGTTAAGTAACAGTCACCATCTTATACAAATCATAAATAATGTTTCTGCGACTGCGTAATAACCAAGAAATGAATGAAGCACTTGCCTTGAATAGAATTTGCTTTAACTAGTTGGGCACAATCTTCCAATACACCTTCTGATATATCATCAATGGTTTGACCCTTGCGCAGTCTCAGATAAACATGGGCTGAAGACATTTTGTCCACATGGAACCTACACAAAAAATGACTTTCAAGAAAGCTCTCAAAGTTAATTAACAGAAACAACATACTAAGTGTCCATCTGGTGAATGATTTGAAACCAGTGGATTTCAAAACTGTAGCCCAAATCCTTCCTTCTTGTTTGGATACCAACTTGGACTGGATTGGGGATTCAAAATCCATCCTTAAAATCTATGGATTTGATAATTAGTAGTTTTCAACTCCACTCCATATTGCTGTCATCTGAAATCTCACCATCTGACCAAACTCCTGTACCCTCATTACAGATTCATTGTTAAGGCGAGTTTGCACATGTGCACATGCTCAAGACTCTAATGGCCTTCAAATGCTAAATGATGTAGTGCTAGAGGCTAAGATTCCTGGGTCTGCCATCTGCAATCTTATCTTATGGGCAGAGATTTCACACCAGATATGTGCAAGCTCACTCGACTGCAGATGGCTCTTGGCTATAAATATGGTGTTTCATATATGGATTTGACTGGTAAACTGGAATCGTAGTTGCAGTTTTGACTATTTTGGAACTTAATACCCTAGGTCATATTTTTATGATGAATTTGTTTGATCATATTTGGTAAGAGAACAGCATATGAGAGGGAATGAAGAATTGATCATGAGATAATTATCACCATCTTGTCAATGGTTATAGATGTAAATTAAAAAAATATACAAAGTACCAATCACTAATTTTGTTAAAAAAAGTTATGTACCTTCCAAATTCAGCAATGTTCTGCAACCTAACAGAAACTGTAATGCACAGGCAACATATTATTCCTACTCTCTGCTAACTTCTTTTTGTGATTTATCGAGGTAGAGCATAAAGCTACAATCGAGATTTGGAAAAAATGTACAATTAACATAAGAAATCTCTCCAAAAAAGATATTAAGAAACAAAGGTCAACCAAATTGTTACGAAGATACCATATTTCTTCCTCTTCTCTGCCATAAATTAATTAAAAATCATATTCCACAAAAAAAAAAAATCAAGATCTCCAGACCACAAAACAGCATATAAAATCAGAAAATAATAATTCAAAAATGAAAGTACCAAATGTCTTCGGGGAAACCATATTTGATGAGCTCTTCGTTCTCGTACTTGTCAAGGCCCATAAATATCGTGTAGTCTCCGGCTTCCGGTCGAGCCTTGAAGTAGAAAACCATCTCTTCAATTTCTCTCTAGGGTTTCGAAAATTTTCCCCAAACTTTCCAATTGAGAATTGATAAGTACCCTTTTGACCCGAGTTTTATGACTTGGGGGCTAAAATTGTGAAGTTCTTTTTCGCGAAAAAAATTGTAGTATATTACATTTATGGCCCAAAAGTTTGAGAAATTAAATTTTTACCAATACCTTTTTTTATGGACACTTTAGGCACGTAGGTGTGGCGAAAATATGATATTGTTTCACGACGATTAAACGTGAGGCTAGTCTTAAATTTCTAAGAGAATTGAACTTCTTTTTGTTATAGGTTAACGATTTGGAAAGAACTTAAAGTTTCAGCCAACAGTGTTAGAATCGTATTTGTGAAATTCATCTGCATAAAATTAATCTTCAAACAGGATGTGGTAGAATCGAATGACATAGCGAATTCCAATTAATCAATTGGCATGAGATTCATACCACGATGGGGGAATCTCAAGTAGGGAGCATCTATAGAAAAAGCAAGCCTAGTGATATAGTTCTCAATGAAGTATATGAGAAGGAAGTGATTATTGTTTGAAGGATAGCATTATGATCTTATCATCAAAACTTACTTTAGAGGAGAAATTTTTCGAAATATGATAATAAAAGTTGTACATCAACTGAATAAATGGTCGATCTTAAGTTAACTACTCGACGTGATAATTTAATTTAAGGATAGTATTCAAATTGTTACGATACAAAAGTTTTGTACTATACACCGTTTGATATATTATACAAAATTTTAGCTTTTACTATTCTTTGATGCTGTCGAGTTCTCTCCAATCGACTTCGCCAATGATGTTATGATTGCTTAAACTTTTATGCGAATATATATAATGTAAGTAGCAAAAGAAAATTTCAAAAAAGCCAAAAACACATAGTAATTGGACCGACCATGAGTGGGTGAATCCATGCGGGCCAAGCAAAATGCGCATGCCTTGTCAAGCATCCTTTTATGATTTTGGATGTATTATTTTTATGGAATAACCATTTTCCATAGCATCATCTTTTAAATGGTGGTTATTGTGGTCCACCAAATCTCACTTGTGATATGTATACAAATACTCACCTATACATACACTGAGAGCCGGTGGATGACCGCCGTCTGTTGACTCGACGATGGTTGACATCGATGAGTTCCATTTGTGAGAGTCATTCCATTAGTTGTTGGTTGTCGGCTTTCAGAATTTTTGTGGGTAACATATGAGTTGAAAGACTAAATGTAAACAAAAAAAGGTATTTTTGCTTGAGTTAATTTCACTAATCAACGAAGTATCTTTGAAATTTCAAAATGATCGTTAAAGTATATTTCTACTCATATATTCACTAAAGATAATAATAGTTACAATAATGATCACTCGATTTCACCATTGATCGCTCATTTGTAGAGAAAATTGCAAGTAGGGTTTGTAGCACATCAGAGGTCCTCGCAAACTAAATTTTACTACGTTAAAATGGCATGTGGTTGACCGTTAATGGTGAGATTTGGGAGACTTATTTTTTCTTTTTAATTTCTTTTTATTTTGTATTTTAGAGAATGTTTGGTGTGGATTAAAATTAGATTTTTAGTAGATTGTGATAGAAGTTTTTGAAATATGCGATTAAAAAAATATGAGACCTATGAAAGATATGATTAATATTGATTGTTTGACTTAGATTTAGACTTAGATTAAAATTAGATTTTAATCCGATCCAAACATGCCCTTAGTTTCAATTATAAATAAGAGCACGTAGCATTTTAATAAAAAAATAAATACATCGTGCACATGATTTAAGATTGTCTGGCAAAGCTGTTGTAAGTGGATTTTTTTAGTAGTAGAACTTTTGAGTCTTGACATCAAAGCTTTTATTAAGAAAAAATGGTCATATGTTTGCTTGTGAATTAAAAAAGTATTGTGAATATTAAATTAANTGTGAATTAAAAAAGTATTGTGAATATTAAATTAACTTTTTTATTGTATAAGTGTTTTTGTATAATTTTTATATTTATTTATTGGGTTAGAGTTAGACTTTTTAAATACATTAATGTGTATTTTGTAAATTTTAAATCTATTTTTAAATTACTTGTTCATGTTAAAAGTTGAATTAGATATTTGTTAAAGAAGCTCAAATTTTTGGGTTTAATCTAATCAAAATAAGATAAATTAAAATGTCTTTTCTAATTTACCATTAATTCACCTAGATTAATTTATATTCATCGTCCCAAAATGACATTTAACAATATATTAAGGAAATACATGTGATAGGAAGTGGTGCATTGAGGCGACCCTGGGGGGGTGCTGTGCGCGTTGCCGTCAGAGTGAATATCCTTGGAAGAGGTTTCTCTAAAATAACCCTTTAAATCTATTTTTTTGGTCAACAAATAATTTTTGATTTTAGCCGAACAACTAACATTTTAAACAAAATAGCTTTTGACTTTTAAACTATGGAAAAGCCCTTCCAAGCACGCCGTTAATATTGTATACAACTCCGTTAATATGGTACATATCGTGCAGACAACTTGAATTCAATTTTCACCAATATTTATTCGTGAAAATTGCGCACTTCTCCTGCGTTTGATATGAAATGAATCGATCTATACTTGGAGGAGCATATTGAAAATTGATTAAATATACATTAATAAATGTGTCTCCTCTACAAGATAATTCAACATTAATTGTGAAATTTTCGATGACAATGGTACTGGATAATGATTGCACAAATAGAAATTTGTATATTACAATACTATACACACAATTTTTGTATGGTTGTACTAACAAAATTGTTGTTCCTAATTTTTTTATGACAAGTTCTTTTTCTTAGCATATTTTAAAAGTTGACCTAAACAATTAGTTGACTTAAATTATATTATTGTCTGCAGAATTGACCTGCTCCAGCCATTTTTATTCTCTCTAGCATGCCCACCTAATGTTCTTCTTGTCGTTGTGTCATCCTTGCGCACGTTCAGGGGAAATTATAATGAAGTTATGTAATATCACGTGTGAATAATAAATGTATAGATATTGTGAATTTATATTTAAAATTAAGGTTTGATTTTAACTTTAAATATAAAAAAATTGTAATGTTTTTGCCAAACACGCACTAAGCGTGTTATGAATTCTGGGTCGCAAGATAATGACGACAATAAAATATACAAGAAGAAAATAAACACCAAGATTTACGTGGAAACCCGTTACGAAAAAAATCACGAGTAGATGAGGAATAATCAATTGCAATTGTGTTTACAGTATCAAGATCTCAATGCTCTCAATTGAAATCTAAACTCTCAAACTCTCAAGATATTGTTGAATCTCTATATGTGATGATACAATGTGAAATATATATATATATCCTAACTATACTAAAAGAGC